TACTGACGATGATGTTGAATGTATGGACTTCAACGATGCCGAAGGTTTAGCAGGCAAACTCTTTGGCTTTGAGTCACTTTCTATATCCCGTTTGTTTTCAACCTCATATGGGTGTTGCGGAGCCGTTGACTGTCCCTGGTCTTGTGTGCCTTCCAACTCCTTCCTTCTTGTAGCACGAGTTTTTGTCATTATTCGCGGTGGACTGTATAACATTACAATTTATGATCCGGCCGAAGTGACCACTGAAGTGGATCGATAGCAAATCAAGAACTCGTGCTGGTTACATAAAATGTTTATTGCGCCACACGGTGAAAATACAAATTGACCGTTAGATTCTTCAAAGCGCGGGACGACTTAAACGTATGTATGTGCACACCAGCGGAGACTGCGGCGACGACTGACTGCCAACAATGCTAGCGGGAATCGCTCACTCTTATCTACCTTAGGGATAATATTACAAATACATACAAGCTTACCTACACATATTTTATAAAATTTATAATAAATATTACATACAAAACAATGCGTCGCCAACAAGGGATGTGCATCGTTTACGCATGGTAGTGTAGAAATAATCCACACGCGCATCCGCAAACATCCCCAACGCACTACCGTAACGAGGTATCAGTAACGAGGCAGACCCAACACCACCCTGAATGCATTATTGTATTCAACACGCAGAGCATTATTCTGTTTCTGCGTGTAGTCCACCCATAGACTGCTCATGTAAAATAAGGAGCAGTAAGCTCTAAAGAGCGTTACTTTTACAGGAACAGAACAACGGGCGAACCTGCGAGCGATCATGTTCGCTCTAACAGGCAATGCCCTACGCTTTCTCTCTATGTCAGCATTATCTTTCAGGTCAAAGGATTCCATATGACCCAGGTACTTAAACTGAGACACCCTTCTTAACGGGGTACCGTATAACTTAATGGGTGGTACATATGAGGGCAAGGCTTTCCCTTTAGCCTGAAAGACCATGCATTCGCTTTTCTTGAAGTTATAAATCAACCCGTGACTGTGGGCGTAGCTTTCACATATGCTCAACAGTTTTGCCAAACCACAAGCATAAGCACTCAGCAACACCATGTCATCTGCGTGTTGTTGAGGCATACTCCGTCAATATGACGACCGACATGAGTGGTGCTAAGTAACTCTATCAGTTCATACACATAAAGATTGTATAGCTTAGGGGAAGTTTCTTAGGGGAAGAAGCGAATAGGTTTCGGACCATCGCACGACATTGACCTGCTTTCAAAACCAAAATTTGAAATTCCTAGTAACTTCTTCGGGCAGTCCAGTATCTTTCAATTTCTGCCATAGTATATCGTAATTTACCAGGTCGAACGCCTTGCTAAGGTCCAGAAAACAGCCATAAATAGGCGTTCGTCTAGCCGAATAGTACTTCACAGTTTGCTTCAAACATAATATGGTCGACTCTGTTGATAAACCTGGCCTGAAGCCAAACTGATTGTCGTGTAGACATATATGTTTATCGAGCTGAGCGTTAAGCAACAACCGTAGCAAGTGATATAGGCCTATGGATATGGACTTATCAGATATGTCCCCAGTCTTGTTCCTTACAATTGGCACCACCACAGTTCTCATCAGAGCCGCGGGCAAGTATAAGTAGCCCCGGGGTACTAACTGTCTGCATACAAAATTTCATGGAGATCTGTTCAGTAGTTTTTGCGTAAATCTTTAATACACAGACAGACAGACAGAAAGACAAACAGACAAAATATCTAAACACCAGTAATTTGGCTTCCGTACCCTTTATTTAGTCCCGTGGACTGGATTTTTCCAGGACATATCTAATAGAGACACGACTTTTCTACAGATTTATTATATGTAGAGATTAGCCAAGTCCGTCAATGTGTCTTTTATTTCCTCACGACTCGGTTCAAAAAAAACTTTTATCGATTTTAGAACTAAAATGTTGAATGTGGGGATCGTAGAGGAATAAGGTTTTATTATTAAGTTGCGGGCTAATTTCAATAAGTTGAGCCATAACTAATGCAAGTTTGATTGCTAATTTTCCCAAGGTCTACGTAACTCGAAATGGAATGATAATGTGATATTATTTTTGTTGGCCCTAGTTTTAATGGAACTAAACCTGGTCTCTAGTCCAAGGAGTCAATTCTTACATTTTGTCTCCGAGTCAGTTGGAGTAGTACTGTCAGCAGAAATATCCCGTAAGAATGTAGTATTTTTAGTACATCGCTCAAATCGTGATTTAGCTACTGGACCACGCTTCTTCTCAACCGACTTCAAAAAACGGAGGAGTTTCTCAATTCGACTGTATTTTTTTGTTTTTTATTTTTTTTTTTTTATATATATATATATAATTTGTCATGTCCTATTAAAAATCCTTAAATTCACAAAAAAAATATTGTGGGTAAAAAAACTATCCTATCTCTCAAGTTGAACCTAACTGCACACGGTGTGCAAATTTGATTAAAATCGGTTAAGTAGTTTAGGAGTCCATTGCGGACAAACAAAGTGACACGTAATTTATATATATTGAGATATAATTCCGATCTGAACTACATCACGATAGCGTTAATTGTTAAACATAATAAAAATATGGAAGAGTATGTTCAACATCAGTTATAAGACAGCGTAACGCGTAACGCATTATACCTACATTTTGTATAGAACAATTATAGTTAGACCATACCGTAATATTTTTCCGTCTCAATCACACACTAGTGTTACGTAAAGGACATAGTTACATTATAACACCAAAGAATGCTAACCAACAGCAAAACTATATATCTATCTCATTGTAACACAGAGCAGCCTCTCACAGAGCAAGAAAATCTTCCTTGCCTGCACCAATCTAATTATTACAACGTTCAGAATCACGACAGTCTTAGCTCTCCTAGAATGACTTCACTCGTAGAATGACCTACATTGCCTTTGCCATTGATCCTACAATGAACTTTATACTGCACAAGCGATGTGGATTTCTCGATATACTCTCAATTACAAACTAAAGAAACAAAAGAAAGTTATCGATGGCTGCCAAACGCGGCGCTAGTGTGCTTACGCGTTGACACGCTAAATTAAACAAACTAAAGCGCGACATCAGTGTTCAGTGTTGCTCACGTTTCGACACGGCCATCTTGACGTTGCACGCGTCCTCGTTAGTACCTGCAAAGAGGAAAAGCGTCGTCACAGTAAACGTGGATTCGATCCGTTAACCTGACCATAAATAACAAACTGCAGTTTAAGGCAATCTTAACAGTCAACTACAAACAGTTACAGCTCATTATTTGTAGCAAACAAAGGTCTTGAAACAACTTAAAGAACAATGGAGTACAAGATTAAATTTACACAAAGTAAATCACTTTGTCGATCAGCACTTTAGAAACACTAAACTGTTACATGCTCTAGCAAACCTGCGTTCGGTGCCCGATGGACTTCAAGACAGCTTCCATCCAGCGTCTGATAGATCTCAAAACATCCTTGGTACGGTGTCCGATAGATCACAATACAGCTTCCATCCAGCGTCTAATTGATCTTAAGACAACCTTTGTACGGCGTCTGATAGATAACAAGCCAACCGACCTTCAGGCCATCTCCCATCCAGCGTCTAATTGATCTCTGATAATCTGATTGTCGTCTAATATTTTCCCAGACCAACCGACCTTCAATACATCTCCAATCGGTGCCTGGTGACTAAAGACAACCTACAACCAACGGCGTCTGACAATTCGAGATAACCTTGGTGCGGGGTCTGAGAGATTAACCTTCGGGCAACCTCCAACCGGCGTCTGATAGCTCAAGATAACCATCAACCGATATCTGACAGCTCAAGATAACCTCTAACCAGTATCTGATAGCTAGCGAATCAAAAGGCAGTGCTGTTCGGCAGTTACTAAAACATTGTACTAGTCAATATCAATGTCATTGTCAATCAAAATCAATGTTGAGTTATCCATAATAATGTGTATTTAATTGACTTCGACTACAAATATGATACAATTATACCATTTTATTTATATTGAAGACGATTGCACAAAATTTTTAATTTTACCACTTATTTAGGTAAATGTGAATGGGAAGATCAACAAGAACTGTGTCAGTTCCGTACGAATACTGCCTGATCAAGAATACATTTCATTTCAGATTCGCGGTCTTTGTTTCAATTTTCTATTGTACCTATCGTTTCCTTTAGTCTAGTAAGTGTTGCTGAAGGAAATATTGTAATAAATTTATATCTACTGGGACACGCGGATTAGTGTCCTGTAATTAAAACTAAGGACTTACTTTTTAGTAAATCTATGAATGGAACTGTTATTAGCTAATACAGCATATGTCATAACATTTATTACAGTTCCATTTTTCATGTGTGTTGTTCACTTAGCTCATGCTAACGCCGAAACCTCACCGCTGATTTTCATATTTTCAGTTGGCTCGAACGAATTGTAACGTACGGATGTACGCATGCGATAAAAAATATACGATAAAAGTATAAATAATAACATACTAAGGTATGTATTTTTACAGTATATATATAAGTTTAGTATTTATTTCTGTAAGAGTGTATTATCTTCATCAGTTAATATCTTTACTAAGTAATTTGTCATAAAATTTTATTGTAACGTTTACGTACATTAAAGTTAATGATAAAGATTAAATTATTAAATGAAATAAATTAGACTTTTATATTTTTTTAGCACTCGTGGACCTATTCGAACGTCAACCGTAAATAAGGCTTTACCAACATAAACTATAAAAAATACAGGCACTACAATCCTTTTCATATTGTTCTTAAAAGAAATTAAAATTGGTCTAGTTTTGAAAGAAGATATTTCCTCTTTTAAAACTAGACCAATAATTTTTTTAATACGGTATTTTACATACGTGTAACATTAATACTATTTACGCGTTTTTTGAAGTATATTGCGTTTTGTATATAAATATTTACTAGTAAAGTTCTCTCTCAGTTTATTGCTTTAAAGCATTAAATAAAAATTATTTAAATATTACCAATGATTGTAAGCGTATTATTCTTATAAATACTATATATATAGTATGTTGTATATAATACATATGTAATTTCAATAAAGAATATGTAATAGAAAAAACTTAAATGTTTATTTTTTACAGAATATGTTGAAGAGGAAATCGAGACTAGTATTAATTTGGACATTATTTATATCCCTGGTCAATGCCACGGTATCGGGATCATCGAGTGCCAATGAGATAAATCAAACGCAGAAAAAACGTTTCCCGTATACTGGTGGAGCATTATATCCACAGGCCACAGAGACAAGGGACTTAAGAACATTAGACGGCATTTGGAACTTTAGAAAGTCCCCCTCAGATCCCGAGTATGGTTATCGAAATGGGTGGTACAAGCAAGATCTTGAGAAGGTATTTATTTATTTATATACAGTTTGACACTACTTCTTTTAGTTTTGAATTTCAATTAAGCTGCCCACATACGGCACTTTCGAATGGCACTACAAATTATTAAAAAAACAACGTAACAGCTGCGATCTGAAATAATATTAATGTATCGACTTCGCGCGTTATTCACGGCGTCACTTTGCACACAACGGCACAACTTTGATTTCAATTGTTTCAATCGCTTGCAAAGCCATTTCCATGTAATATATGAGATAGTGATGAGATGAATCTGCAAAATAAAACTGATTCATGTCTGTACATTTATGTCTAATCACCGAGGCTCGTCGTTGTGTAGCTGTCGACACTTATGAAATAATAGTCCAAGTAATTTTTAAAATATTAAGATTTTAAATGAGCAAGCAGTCCAAGTGAATTTTACACCAAGGTTAGTACGGATGCGGTGCCTATACGAGTTCTGAATGTCTTTCATATCAGAACAAAACAATGGAATCATCGCTGTTTGGTGCAAAGATAGAAAAGGATGGAACCTTACAAAACGGACTCCAGAAAGGGATAATTTACACCTAATTTTCTTTGTTATATTTCTTAACATTTATGTTATTCTCATCAGAAAATATATTTCCGTGTTCGTTCAATCGGATTAGATAAAGCCTGTCAGTTTCATGGTTAGGAATAGGTAAAAGAGTTTATAAAATACGTATTTTTCTAAGAACTATTTGTATACTGCAATAACTTGAACTTGACAACTGTAAATGTATTAGTATACACACTATGAAAGGTATTAGAACCGTTAGCTTACCAAAGATAAAACAAAGATTGAAGCCATCATTTCGGCCTTAAGTTAGCCTTATATGCTCAGTAACCCATTGAGCTTTAGCATTGAGTGCCGTTACTGTTTTGTTACGTCCGATATTATTCTCATTCCTTTTCTAAGTCATTCTTGTGGGGAGACGTTGTGTACAAAATATATTTAATACAAATAACGCTATCCATCAATTTACAGTTACATACATTAAAGGAGAAGTTGTGATGGTATACAATTAAAAGAGACGTAAAGATATTTTGATTTTATTGTTTGTACTAACTACTCTCTGTTCAAACGTTGAGGATACTAAAAGTATTGATTCATATGCACTTTGTTCTTTGTACAACCATAGAAAAGGTATGGGAATATATTCACATTTACTATTAAGCTATTATTACAATTAATTTAGAAATTTACAAAAAGAAACAAAAAACAAATGCGTTGTACAATATATTAGAGATTGGCAACAGTTTTAAGGGGAAATATCTAGGTGTGTATGTCTATACAAAGATATTCCTTTGTTTTCTTCCTGGATAAAGACAATAAAGCAAATGATTTTTACGACATAATCTATATCTACTACTGACATGTATCTTATTGCCAAAAAATTAATTATTTTATAAACTGGGAAATCGGGGAAGCGCGGGAAGTTCTGAAGTAGGCGGGCGTCCTTTTTTGGCTAAACTTTTGAAAATTAAATTAAATTGATATTACAGGATCAGTTAAGTTGTAAAGTATATATATTAGTAGTTATTGTTGATTATTTATAGTTTTAGCTTGATTTCTTCATCTGGTAAGTCATTTCATTGTATTATATGTAAATAGGATTTTTCTCTTGGCGTCCATGTTCGAGCCCGAAGACCCTGGAGGGACATTCCTCCAAGTGTCTCATGTAGTCACAATCGATGCGTCGGGAATGGAAACGGAAGGTTCAATTATAGATACAGACTGTTCGGAAAACACGAAATCGGTGAAAAGAAAGAGAATTTCAGCTAGAAACCAAAAGAAGAGAAGGAATCACAGACAAACGGGTCTATCAGACTGCCAACTTTCCCCTAACGATTTAAAGGATAATGTTATTACTAAATTGCTTGATTCTGATGATAAAAACACTGAAATTCACCATAATGATGACACTCACTCTAACAATATTACAAGTAACCCCCGCGCTGCTAGGTTGCTTTACCAGGCGTCAGATCCTGCGCCTTATGTTGTCCATGTCCAAAAAATCTTACAACCAAATCAAACTGGATCTATTCACCCAGTACAATTTGGATTATTCCTTAAAAAAAATTTAATAAAAAGCATTGTAGAGGGAAGCATCAAAAAATTGGAAGAAACAGATTGTATTTACAATTTGAAACATTTCAGGATGCTAACACATTTCTAAATCACAAATCTCTTGATGTTAATAAATACAAAGCATTTATTTCAGCCTTCACTATCACCCGCATGGGAATAGTGAGAGGTGTTCCATGTGATTGGGATGAGAAAGTTATAATGGAAAATATAGACCTTCCGCAGAACTGTGGAAGTATTTTGAAAGTTCGGAGATTAAACAGAAAGGTATATGACGGCGAAACGCCCAAGTTCATTCCAACTGAGACTATAGTTTTAACCTTTGATGGGAAGGTGCTACCTCCCAGGATCTTTATATGTTTCAACTTCCTATCTGTAGAGCTTTATATTTACCCCACGCTGCAATGCTTTAATTGCTGTCGTTTTGGTCACACCAAAATGCAATGCAGAGGCTCTCCAAGGTGTTACAATTGTGGAGACAACCATTCAGGTATAAGCTGCGAGACTGAAAGAGATGATGCTGTGTGTATCTTATGTTCTGGTTCCCATTTCGCCACAGACAAAAAGTGTCCGGAGTACGCTAGGCAAAAAGCTATAAAAGAAACAATGGCTAGAAACTCTATATCTTATTCAGAAGCCAGTAAAATCCACCCACCAGTTTCAAAATCTTATGCTGACGTTATTGCTTCTGCTTCATTGGCCCCTTCTGGTCGAACTATTACTTATTCCAGCCCCTATAATTCAACAAGCCCTTCTAAGAGTCACACACAGTCATATAGGAAAACAGTATTCTCGAAACCCAAAGCTCGTCCCAGAAATACTAGTAAGGGATATGATCAAAAAGCGCATGCAGAGCTTATCCAAGATTACAGCAACATTCCTTCCTCTTCTACAGGTTGTCTCAAAAATTACAAAGATCTATCAGAAATAATAACAAAGGATCTCATCATTTCTATAATTCAGTACCTTTCACAACATAACCTAATTAAAATACCGTCCAACGATGCTGCTTCTTCAAAAAGTTTTTTAACTCATGGACAGTCAGGACCATCCACGAAACCAGTCTCTGGTGATTCAATGGAATTGCCGGAGTATTAATAGCAAAAAAAAGTGACCTAATTTTCTTATTGAATAGTTACAAACCATTTGCAGTCTCTCTTCAAGAGACTTGGCTTCGTCCCGGATTCAACTTTAGAATTCCAGGACATATCTGTCTTAGAGAAGACAGAACAGATGGGTATGGAGGAGTTGCACTAATTCTAAAGGGCGGTGTGCTCTTTGTCCACATACCCATACCTAATCACAGTAATAAATTTTCAATTATTGCTGTTAGTGTAAATAATATATGTTTTGTAAATATGTATATACCTCACCCTTCCACTGAAGTCTTTGACGATATTCGTAGCATTCTATCTTCCCTCCCACGCCCTATATTGGTCATGGGAGACTTCAATGCACAACATTCTATGTGGGGAAGTTCTAAGTCTGACCATTATGGGGCTAGAATGTTAGACATCTTAGATGATAATAATTTATGCCTTCTAAACTATGGTTGTCCTACTAGAAGGACTCGGCCCCATAAGGGTATTAGTGCACCAGACCTTACCCTGTGTAGTCCCTCCCCTAGCTCCTACATTAAACCGTCGTCATATGGAAGCGATCACTTTCCGTTAATTATATCATTTCCTCAAAAAATTGGCGAAAAGATGTATAAGGCTCCTCCCCGGCTAAAATATAAACTTAACGATGCCAACTGGTCATTATATAGAGATAAAGTTCAACAAAATTTATCAACTATACCTCCACTAAATGACAACAATAATCATCTTTGTGCTGAAGCTTTTACACGGGCCCTACTACAGGCTGCTGAGGAAGTTTTTCCTATTAAAAATAATAGTGGCAATGGGTATATTCCATCACCTCCATGGTGGGACAGTGAGTGTTCTGCTGCGATAGCTGAGAGAAAGATAGCTGAAAAAAATTACAGGAAAAATTCTACAACACAAAATTTTAATATTCTTTGTAACCTTATAACTAAAACACGTAAATTATTAAAACAAAAAAAGATTTAATGGCTGGAAATCTTTTTGTGCCTCAATTTCACCACACATTTCTCCATCTGAAGTTTGGCAAAATATTCGTAGATTCAGATCCGCTTTTAAGCCACCAAGGTTTCCTTTTATGGATAGCAGTACAGTTGATTTGTTTCTTGACAAATTAGCCCCACCATTTGTCCCATCTATAGATAATATTTCTTCTGACCTACAGTCTTCTCTCCTCACCCAGCATGATAGTAGCGATTCATTCATTTTCTTTAGCCTTTCAGAACTCAAAGGGGTTCTTTCAAGACTTAGGGACTCAGCCCCAGGTTGTGATGGAATCCCATATTCTTTTCTTCAAAACCTGAACGACTCCTGCCTTTCTTATTTTCTTAGTTTAATTAATTCAATTTTAACAACAGGTAATATTCCTCCATCATGGAAAATTCATGAAATTATCCCAATACATAAGCCAGACAAACCGATTAATGATCCATCATCTTACAGACCAATTGCATTAGCTTCAGTTATTTCCAAAATTTCTGAACATTTAGTTAAAAATAGGTTAGAATGGTTTATTGAGAGTAAGGGGTTACTATCTCCAAACCAGTTTGGATTTAGGAAAGGTAGGAGTACAATGGATAGTCTCAGCATTTTTATGACAGACTTAAGATTGGCATTTTCGCACAATAACTCTGTGTTAGAAGCATTTTTAGATGTATCTGCAGCATATGATAATGTCAACCTTTCAATTCTGAAACAAAAAATGATTAATTTGGATATCCCACAAATTTACAATCAACCTTCTCTCTGGTAGAATGCTTAAAGTAATATCAGAAGACTCTTACCAATCCCGTATTGCCTGGAAAGGTATACCCCAGGGCTCAGTTTTAAGTCCCTTAATTTACAATATATATTCTCATGATCTGGAAGCCTCCCTTAAGGGTAAAGTTAGCACTCTCCAATATGCAGATGATTTACTCCTCTATGTCTCTGGTGATTCTGTTCACAACATGTCTGATACTATGACATATTCCCTTAAGTTACTAAAAGTTTGGCTTGACAATAACTGTCTCAGCCTTTCAGTTTCTAAAAGTAGTATAGTCTTATTTTCTCGTATGAGGGTTCCACCTCCAGTGTCTGTACTTTATAATAACATTAGAGTTCCCGTTAAAAGCGAAGCAACATTTCTTGGAGTAATTTTAGACTCGAGACTTACAGGCATCCCTCATTGCTACTATATAAGTGCCAAATGTGAGAAGATTCTAAATATACTGCGCTGCCTCTCTGGAGTTTGGTGGGGAGCCCACCCTTTCTCTCTAAAGCTTCTATATAATGCCCTTATAAGGAGTATTTTAGACTATGGAACATTTATTCTTGAACCCTGTAATGTAGTAGCTCTCCATAAATTAGACATTATCCAGTCTAAGGCTCTGAGAATAATTGCTGGGGCTATGCGTTCGAGCCCTATTAACGCTTTGCAGGTTGAATGTTCTGAAGCGCCCCTGCATCTCAGACGACAATTTCTTTGTGACAGGTTCCTGTTTAGAGCATTCCAAGTCTATAATCATCCTCTTTACTTTAAGTTACGGTCTCTGTTGGAATGTATGGATTATCCGTACTGGGCTCATAAATCGTCGCCATGCCTTATTGTTAGTCTCCAAAAATTCTTAGCTCTTCAAGCTCCAACACATAGATCACAATTCCTTCCTATATTTTGTGTTAACTATGATGCCTTAATTTTAAAACCATCTATTTTGTTTGATTTCGGTGTATGTAAACAAGATACTTCTGCCAACGTCAAATTTATTAATATAGTTGACAGTGACAGCCGATGGAAACATTGCCATTTAATTTTTAGTGATTCTTCCAAACCTGGTTCCGAGAAGTGTGTGGGAGTTGGTGTTTTCCATCAACAGTTTGGCATTGTACAGAAAATAAAATTGCCTCCAGAGACTTCAGTATTTACTGGAGAATGTTTTGGTCTGTTGAAGTCTCTGGAGTACATTTTAATCATGAAGTTAAAAAACTCAATAATTTTTACCGATGCTAAAAGTGCCCTACAAGCCTTGGAAAGATTTCCTTTTAGCAATAACAGAAACAATCATCCAGTTATTATTGCATGTCGTGATTTATTGTATCAATGTTACATCAAAAATTACACAGTTTCCTTTGCTTGGATTCCGGGGCATTCAGGTATCTTTGGCAATACCAAGGCCGATAGCCTTGCCAAAGCTGCAGTCAATGACGGAGATCTAGTTCCGTACAAAAACTTTTGTTGTGATTTGGCTCTCCTTCCTAAATCCCAGTTATTGAATTCTTGGACACATATTTGGCGTTCTTCAAGTCAGACTATAGGTCGATATTATAGCACGATCCAGGTGGATATACCTCATAAACCGTGGTTTTCAAATCTGATGTTTGGTAAAGCTATCACCTCGACCCTTATTCGTATGAGGCTGGGCCATGCATGCACTCCCTTGCATTTGGCACGACTTAAACTTTTGGCTAGCGATATATGTGAGTGTGGTAATGACGTTGGGGATTTTAATCATATATTTTTTGCTTGTCCTAGACTTGACCGTTCCGCTTTTATTTCCTCGCTTTTGTCCATTAAAATTCCTTTTCCTACTTCAATTTCTGTCCTTTTATCTTATGTAAATATTGATGTATATAGAATTTTAGCCAGTTTCATTTTTCATAACAATATAAAATTATAATCATTTATGTACTTATATACTAAATTTACCTGATCCTTTTTCAAATTCCGTTCCAACTTCCAATTCAATAAAATAAATCTTACTTCCTAACCTTCTTGCATGGCTGACGCACAAACCGTGCAGGCCAAAAAGAAAAAAAAAAACTGGGAAATCTTCCAAAATTACTAAAGCTGCCCAATTAAGTCGATGTAATCAAACATAAAAAAGAAGAAATAGCTTCAACCCTATCCGTTGTTATATTATATCCATTTTATATTGTACTTTAAAAAATAAAATCAGCCTCGTTTTGAAGGGGGAAATAGTAAATACCGGATGATGATTTTTAATAGAATGATGGCGATAAACGAGCACCACCACAGTCCACCTGATAGTAAATTAATGCAGTATCCCATAAGCATCTACATTTATCCTCGATTAAGAATCGAAATTTGTTACCCCTGGAACACCAGTCTTAACGGAGTCTCCATGCAGTACAGGACTATAGAGCCCAAATGTACGTAAGCATAGGTGAACCAGAGAGTTATCAGGCGCAGGGACCGAGGGCTTTACGTGCATTCCGAGGCAAGGGGGTGAAACATCGCTAATTTCCTGTCTAAGGGCTGCGACTGAAGATTTTTAATCAAATAAACTCAATAACCGATTTTTGTTGCCCGACCCGGGATTCAAACCTGGAACCTCATGATCAGCAGTTATGTTCACGACCACTAGACCAACGAGTCGGTCAATTTAAAAAAGCTGAAGGTACTCCGGTTTTAACAATGACATCGGGACGTCAGTCAACTCAGTCCCCCGTGACCATGGGTGCTGGAATGCACCTGAAACGTCGGGAATTAAAAATAATTAAAATTAAACGCGATAAAATCCGTAAAAGTAGCTTTAATCAATGTGTAATGTTCGCGTAAATATAAGAAATGATTAAATAGCAATGCTTTTAACACTATCGTTAACTGATTCAATTGTTTTTACGTGGTAGAGCCATGCTGTAGCTACATATATTAGTAGTATAGTTGTAGCACAGATGGGTCGGCTCGACCGGTGAAGTACCACGCCCTCACGGAATAGCATAAAATCGCTGCTTAACGCTACTGTGTTTCGTATGGTGAGTGTAGAGAACTGGAGACCTTTTTTATTGGAAAGAAGACATTTTATCTCAGTCCTCACGGGAGACAACGCATCTGCATTTTGATTCGTAATCGAGGATAGATGAAGATGTCTATGGACTACAGCAACCACTTACCATCAGGTGGACTATGTGCTCGTTCGTCACCCATATCCTATAAAAAGATATCTTCGTACAAAATTTACTTTCTGATGGAATGTTAGCTGCTCACAATTTTATTTTAAAAAACTATACCCAAGACGTGATATGAAATACGAATTTTTCTTTTATGTCTACACCACCCTATATTACATATTATACATTATATACATTTTTAGTTATTATTTATAACAGTCAATCGTAATTCAGACAGGCCCAGTAATCAAGATGCCAGTACCGTCGTCCTACAATGACGTAGGTGAGGACGCTTCTCTGAGGGACCATGTGGGCTTGGTGTGGTACGACCGGCGCTTCCACGTGCCGCCCTGGTGGCTGCAAAATAGACAACGCGTGTGGCTGCGATTCAGCAGCGTGCATTATGCGGCACATGTGGTGAGTTAATTAAAATATTACACTGGTTTGTTCTACCGTAGCCGAGAATAGAGGGGCTCCCAGTTCCCGTGGCCCTGATGTTCATATTTCTCTTGCTATTTATGGTAATGCCAGGGTAGGGGTGCTAAGAATAGTGGAGGTGCTAACCAACTTTTGTTGCCACATAAGACGACTCGACCTGACAACATACATATAATGCACGCACCCTGAGGACTGACGTGAAGATCCTGGAGCTAGAAGAAGAGATAGACAAATTGCGCTGAAATATTATAGTAGTATCTGAGTGCCGCAGAGAGAGGGAGAACCCAATTATCCTCGAATCCGGAAATTTATTCTATCACCGGCGATCGGCGGCGCGCTTATTATACATAGACATCTACAACTATCTTCAATTACGAATCAAAATGCAGATGCGTTGCCACCCGTGAGAACGAAGATGGAATGCCTCGTTTCCAGTAAAAAGGGGTCTCCGATCCGAATCCGAAGGGTCACTCCCATACAAAACACAGCAGCATTAAGCTACTATTTTACGCCGGTATTCTGTGAGAGCGTGGTTCTTCCCCGGTCGAGCCAACCCATTCGTGCTACAACTATACTACTAATATAACTGCAGCATGGCTCTACCACGTGTAAAAACGTTAGAGAAAACAATTTTTAATAAAAAAACATATTTTTATACTCGTAGTATCATTACGCAAATAATTATCCAATTTTTAAGTGCAGTATAAATATAAACGATAGTTGGTCAACGTATCATTATTGTACTCGTATCACCTTGATCAAGTATTCTTTTACAATTCAAGTGGATAGATAACGGAAATGAGACATTCGCAATTTCGTAAGTTTGAATAATCAAGAGATGCGATAACGCGATTATTTTATTGAATAAGGTTGCTGCGCTGCCGTTTATTTATTTCTTATACGACGATATACAATCACGATTGTGTTTTTCCAATTAGTAATTAAAAGTGAAAATAATAGAAATGACTTTATATAAATAATTATTTAAACATATATTTATAACGTAATTTTGCACACACACTACTTTTAGCAATAAACAACAAAGCGTGTTCCATCAATTCCCTTCTCTTAAGATTTTCTGCACATGCTCAAACCAAAAGCTGGCTACTATATGCTACTACATTTTTACCTACTATAAGCCAGTGCTTAATCTCAAGGCAGTAAGTGGTGATGTATCCTTAGATTTTACGTGGTAGAGCCACGCTGCAGCTATGTTAATTATATAGTTGTAGCACGAATGGGTCGGCTCGACCGGTGTGGACCACGCTCTCACAGAATACCAACGTCAAATAGCAGCTTAATGCTGCTGTGTTTCGTATGGTGAGTGTAGAGAACCTGAAACCCTTCTCCTCCTTTTTACTGGAGTAGTGGCACTCCATCTTAGTCCTCAAGGCTGACAACGCATCTGCATTTTGATTCGCAATCGATGTAGATGTCCATGAGCCACGGCAACCACTTACCGTTTTCCTTTAAAAAAAAGATTTAATTCACCTTAGATGGTTAATCACACTGCCTTACTGCACTTAAGAAAATCCTATTCACTCTTGCTTTACGGCTAGGCCACACTACGCTCCACGCGCTGCTCATCGCTCTGCACCTCTCGCTGCCGCGATGTTTTCCTATCTGCACACACACTGCTCTACTCGTGCAATTAATCGCGACTTTCCGCACTAATTCGCTCGCTTTTGCAACACAATGGATGTGAAACTGTTGCAGCGTGCGAGCTATTCGTATCTTTTATAGCTAATTATATCAATGTCATTAAAAGAAATATACGTTTTCGTCGTCGAGATACCTTTATCTCTGTAATTATATACTCATGTGACAATATGGCAGAATGATGATGATAGGCATTTTTGATTTTTATATGACACGTAGCCGTGGTAGCTCATATGGTTAGCGCTCGCTGCAGTCATATTGCGCGAGCAAGCCGGGTTTGACCCCCGCCGGCACCAACGAAATTGTTAATTGCAATTTTAAATGCTGATTTACCACATGGTACATGCTCTGACGGTGAAGGATAATATCGTGAGGAAACCTACATGTCTGAGAAATAAAAAAAAATATTTCGAATACATCTGAAGTTCGCCAACACACATTGGGGCCGCGTGGTGTCACTTACTTGCCCTAAAACCCTGTAACTTTAACTTTTGACGTGCTTCCGTAACGAGCGCTCGATTCGGACTGCGTTTTCGCGAGTGTGTGGACAGCCACTCATACTCATATTGCCAGTCCTTTAACTCGCGCCAAAAAAACCGACAAAACAGGGAGCGATAGGCATCACGAGGAGCATGACGTGCGCATAACGGGTATTGTGGCCACACTATGTCTATACCTTCTTTTGCTCGCTACTTCCCATGCCACTCGACGAGTGTGTGGCCGGGAGGTTAAAGATATTCAGTAAACGGATGGAAAGACCGACGCCGGCAAATTTTATTCACTCTCTTGCTGTATACATAACAAAGACGAAGCAAACCGTTTGATTCTAATACGTGGAATATCGGTATATTAGCGGCAAAGACCGCCGATCGCCTAGTTATATAATGGTGGAAAAGAGAGGGAGGAATTAAGGCATGTAAGTCCTGCGCACACTCTCCGAAATTCCTCAGACTGACTACTCTGCTTGGTGGAGCCACGTGTTTGAGGCTGCCGAAGTCTAGTTCCCCGATCGAACCTTAAACCTATTACGCGAGATATTAATCTAAGTGGACTGTATCTACTAATGCTTCTACACTTATATATGCGGTACAATGCACTCGCTCTTCCCAAAAAAACGAACTATTATTTGCCAAATCGATGAAAGGAATCCTGCTTGATTAGGAAAACACAAAATTGGAGCGTGTTAAAACAACTATATCAAGCAGGAAAATACTATTAGGAAAATGTTGACTCACCGTGATGTTTCTTCTATGCGGTCGAGCACTATAACTGCGACTTCTGGAACACTCCGGAGAGAGGCGGTGCGCGACTATATCTCACACGAGGTGAGGCGGGTTTCCTGGAGCTCGACTGCTTCCAGGCTAAAGCGGTTTCTACTAGTGATGTGTTTCCAACAACGAGCGCGGCGGGAAGAGCTCTTTAGGACACTATTATCCTAGGCGGTGTAGTTCTAACGATGAGCGCGGCGGGAAAAGGCCACGCGTCGGTCGCGCGTGTCTTATATATCCTCGGTTCCGATGATTACGTGATGTTCTAGAATCATCTTCTTTCCCCCTCCCACCCCACCACCCCGATGTGTCGATAGGAGGGTACGAATGATATCGTTTTGGAAAGGGATAACCGATTTGGCAGCCTACCGTCAAATAAAATAAATACGAATGGTTTTCCGCGCAACCATCTCCCCCGCCCTTGTAGGATCTCCTTCAAAAAATAACTAAAACAACTAGAGCTAAAATCAACTAACAAATAACTAACTAACGCTAAGATTACCTAAATTCAACTACAATTTTAATCTAGAAAGCTAATTTAAATTATGGAAGAGGCAAGGGGCACAAACGGACAACAGGACGCAGGTAAGACCCAACCGTGGTCTTAACGCGAGCTATCCTAATTACTCCGTCGGAACCGGGAAAGACCTCTTCAACAATTCCTAACGGCCAATGGAGAGGTGGCGTATTCTCCTTAGTGAGCACGACTACAGTTCCTACAGCTAAAGGCTCAGTCGCTGTGTTCCATTTTTGCCGAGACTGCAAAGTATGCAAGTATTCCATCCTCCATCGTTTCCAAAACGATTGCACTAACCGGTCTAATAATTTGTGGCGTGCGGATTAGCTAAGTCTGCTCTCATCCATATCTGCGGCGGGCAAATACTTTAAAGGCGTTAAGTTCAAAAAATGTGCTGGAGTTAGAGCCAGCGGTTCCGAGGGGTCACTAGACAACGTCCGACAAAGTGGGCGGCTATTCACTACGCATTCAATTTGAGCGAGCACCGTACTTAGCTCTTCAAAGGGCAAAATTTGATCTCCTATTACTCGGTATAAGTGACTCTTTAGACTCTTAATATTGGTCTCCCAATTGCCTCCAAAAATGACTCGCGGCTGGGACGTTCAGAGACCACTCAATGCGGTTCTCGGCTAGAATGTGAGCGAACTCCGAATTATAATACTTGCTAGCTAAGAGCTCATGTAGTTCCGATAGAATACGTTTTGCACCGACGTAGTTCGTACCGTTATCCGAATATAATTTACTTACAGGGCCTCTACGGGATAGAAATCTTTTAAATGCACCCATAAAGCCTGCTGTGCTTAGATCACCAACGAGTTCTATATGCACCGCTCGAGTAGTTAGACATACGAAAATGCAGACGTAAGCCTTTGTGGATCTTATACCACGCCCGCGAGTGAGCGTGACCTTAAACGGACCAGCGAAATCCGACCCGGTGTGCGTGAAGGGCTTTACCGATTGTATTACTCTACAAGATCTAAGTTCCGCCATTTCCGGAAATGACGGCTTGGGGCGTGCCCGAAAGCAAGCTATACATCTGTGCACCCGATTGCGTATTAAACTACGTGCAGAAAGAATCCAATAATTCTGACGCAAAATCGACATCAACAAGTCGGGGCCAGCGTGCGAGTTCAATTTATGATGGTAATCGACTAATAAGTTCATGATATGGTCTTTACGCGGTAAAACTATAGGGTTCCGTTGGTCGAAACTCAATTGCGAGTTGGACAAGCGTCCACCTACCCTTACAATCCCATCCTGTAAAAATGGCTTAAGGCGTTGAAAGGCGCGACTACAAGCTCTATTCGATTGTAATCTTGTAATTTCCTCAGAGAAGTGCGCACGTTGAAGTTCACGTAATACTAGAGACTCGGCATAGTTGTAATCGGACGCTAAGACATACGAACGTCGCGGTAAAAGCTTCGCGAATCGACAAACGTAAATTACGCTACGCAATAATTTCGACCAAGAGGACAAGCGGTTCGCCAAAGCAATGATTGGAGAAACCTCGCTCGAAACGTTCGCCACTAGAGCAT